TTTTGCTAAATAAGCAAAAATGGTGTGTGTCCTTGCAGAATGACAGGAAGAAAGCTCAGAGTGCCATGGAGGCTACTTGGAAGGGCATGGAGAAGAAAGAGAAGATTCCCTGGATCAAGAAGGCAGCCGAGGACCAGAAGCGATACGAGGTTCAGTACCGGACTGTGGTCAGTGACCAAACGTTTTGACCACTGTCTTCTCATCCGTATTGAAGAAATGTCAAAATGTTGGTCATCTCCTAACCTTCATATTCCGCAGAGTAAAGCAGAGGAGAGGTGAAACAGTGGGTGCTGTTATCGCAACTCTAGCCGTTGTTTCTTTATTCCCATGTGGTACTTCCCATTACTGTATTTGCTTAGTGCTGGATATAAATGTGACTTAGTCGTTGTGCTGGCTTCAATACATAGCCAGTACTATTGATAATTTCCACAAATTTGACATCTCAATTTCTTTGTATTCCGTGATTTTCTTAGCATACTGATGTATTTGTGTAGCTACACCCTACAGAATAGTCTTTGTTCCTATTTTGTTTAAGTTAAAATGCCTGAAGCAAGCTGAAATCCTGTTTTGCTTTCTTTACATCCTGCAGAGAGAGCTGGTCGAGATGAGGACCGTGCCATCGGGTCAAGGTCAGAGGAAGCCAAAGTTTGACGGAGAGCCCAAGAAACCTCCTGTGTGAGTGGCGAATCTGCGCGCCAGTGCCAACTCGGAGACCACCCAGTGTAGAAGAGCTGTTCACTCCATCATCTAACTTCCTCCTCCTTCTCTCTCCTTCTGATGCAGGAGTGGCTATCAGATGTTTTCCCAGGAGCTGCTCACAAACGGTGAGCTAAATCATTTCAGCCTCAAGGAACGCATGGTGGAGATTGGCAAGCGCTGGCACAAGCTCAGCCAGAGCCAGAAGGACAAGTACAAGAAGCAGGTAGAAGAGCAGCAACTTGAGTACAAAGCAGAGTTGGATGCCTGGGTGAAGGTACAAACCAAGTGCTGCTTTACATTTCTCCACGCTTCAATCAAAAGTCACTTTCAGTTCGTAGCCTCAAAAGTCACTTTCAGTTCGATGTCAGTGATCGTGTTTTCTCTTTTGCTTTCTTTCTCAGTCTCTCTCTCCTCAGGAGCGAGCCGTTTACAAAGAGTTCTCTTCGACGGTGAGTGTCTCAGTTCAGTCGTTTCATTATCATTATTTTACTCGTGCTTATTAACATCTTCCATATTGTGCATCCTATTGCGAGTCATTTCAGAGGCCAGTCCTCAGGGAGCCCCATTCGGTCCACATTTCATTTCAGTTCCGGTTCCATAAGGATGCTTTCACATACGCAGCGTTTAATCTATTTGACCCAAACCCTGGTGTGTTTTTGGGCAGACAAAAGTTTCAGACTCTAGCGTGGTTCATTTTCAGTGAGAGAGCGATTCAACCCATAATACACCCACTGCAGGAAGTGAACCAAACATAATGTGCATTTTGGGTTGTAGCATTTTTTTTGTAGATATGAGCTGCTTTTTTTTTTTTTTCAGGTTTTCACACCTTCACACCCCTCAGTTAATTTTTCTTTTTTTTTTGCTTTTGGTTCTTTTAATTATGTTTTAAAACCAAACCAAATGGCAAATGAACCCAAAAAGTATCAATTTCGCTCTGATTCGGATATGGGAAATGGATTAATAGGAGTGAAAGCGCCCCTAACACATCTATGCCAGGTTATCGTCATTCCCCAGCCCGTTTCCTAGCTCAGGTGTGTTTAGAGCTGAAACACAATAAAAATACGGATTGCTTGGGGGTCCCTAAGAACTGAATGTGTAGAAATGTGCATGTATTCTAATGCACTGCACTGCATGGCAAGTAATTTTGCTGCTGTCAATTTAGTTGGATAAGACTAAGAATAGAGACTATTTTGTAGCATTGTAATCTTATCTTATAAATAGCTATTAATAGCTTTTTTTAATCAGTACTATGTATTATGTACACTTATGAAATGGAACTAACCTGACTTGAGGCAGTAATGGTTCTGTGGGCTGCTTTGCAGAGCTACTAATTGTTGCTTTGAGCTTGAACTATTGTTTTCTTGTGTTTTTGTTTTTTCGTTTGTGTGTGGGGTTTTTTTTTTTTTTTTTTTTTTTTTTTTTTTTTTTTTTTTTTTTTTTTTTTTTTTTTTTTTTTTTTTTTTTTTTTTTTTTTTTTTTTTTTCCTTTCCTGTTGCTCTCTCTCCTTGTCTTCCCCCTACCTCCCCCCTCCTCTCCCCTGTCTGTGTCTCCACAGAAACGGCGGAGCACGTCAAAAGCACGAGGTCCCGGAGCCAAAGTGCGTGTCACCAAGGGGAAGGCGGTAGGTGCCCGAGCTGCAGCGCTGGGGGCCGGGGGGGGCAAACGTTCCATGGCGTACCGGGTCAAGGTAACGCCCGCTTTCTCTGGGCCACTCGCCCAACACTGTCACAAAAAAAAAAAAAAATGGGCCACTCAGGCCTCAGAGTCAGGGAAATAGTGTTGAGAATTTTATTAGTCTCATGAGCAGCCAGCAATGGCTCTGTTTAAGTGTAGTGAAGGCTATGGCAAAATGTATGCCGTTTAAAAAAAAAAAAAAACTTAAGCTCAGAATTATGGATGTTATGCAATGTGAGTGAATTGGAAGGGGAGAATAACTGCTTATTAGAGAGAAGTGTGACTCTGTGGTTTCCAGCAGGACACCTCAGACTCAGAGGAAGAAGACGATAAGACAAACTCAACAGACTCAGAGGATGAAGATGACGAGTCCTCTGCTTCCACAGATAGTGAAGATGAGGACGATGACGAAGAGGATGAGGTGAGGATATAGTCCTAAACTTGAAGTGAGGCTTAAAACCTAGATCAGGGGTCTTCAGTCTTATCCACTAAAGGACCGATGTGGCTGCAGGTTTTCATTCCAGCCAGGAGCCGCACCTGATTCTACCTGCTTAATCCGTTCATCTTTGCCTTCACTCATTATCAGGTGTGGCTCCTGCTGGGTTGGAATGAAAACCTGCAGCTACACCGGCCCTTTGCAGATAAGATTAATGACCTAGATGATTAATATTAAATCAGCTTTGCAATAGTTCAGAAAGGCTGCTAAGAAAAAATACAAGGATTGTACATACTCTTGCATAACTAAAAGTGTTGGATTTCTGAAGTTACTGTTTTTGAGGTTTGATTGGGTTGATTGTTTTTTAGTCAAAGGTGGACAAAATAATATTTATATTTTAATAATACAGTATGAAACATTGGCATTTCATAGTTTAGTAGTTCTAGTTAAGTTTTTCTTGTATGTATTGTAAGCCCCTAGAGCCTGCAGTGTTAAATCAGTTCACTTGATGGAAGGGACTGGAATGTAAAAAAACAAAAAGCGGTTATCCTTTCTGATATTTGTCTAATACTGGGCTACCGGTCAGTAAAAAATGGCAACAAAATATAATTTTCAGGTGGTTAGAATAAAAGCCAAATACAATTTAAAAGAAGTGAAATAATGTAAATTACAAACTGACAAGCAGCATGTTAACTAACTAGCTAAAAGTGTTTCTAGGTGTTGAGGACCTATAACATTATTCAGGTCCTTCCAGAAATTTACACATTTCCTTTAATCTCAGCCTTTTTTGCCAGGGGCATATGACAAACATTTAAATTTTAAACGTTAGTTTAAAATGTTTTTCAATGTTATAACTGGGGGGAAACATCTAATTATGCTTGAAACATTGTTGAAATTCACTTTTGGAAAGCTGTACTTGGCCTCGTCATAGCCATACACGATTTCCTGCATGTTTTACAGAATGATGAGGATGATGACGAAGACGATGAAGACCAGTCAGATGGCTCGAGCAGCTCGTCAGAGGACAGCAGTGATTCAGATTCAGACTAATGAACCTGTCCTCTCAAAGGTTGGGGGCTGTGCAGGACACGCCCCCTAGCAACATCCCTCCCTGACAACAGGGGAGGGGCCGAGTAGCTGTGAGCACACAGCACGCGCTAATGCGTCTGTCTCTCGTCAGTGAGAGATGCAGGACTCAGCAGAGTGACAGCTCTTCTCTCTTTATATATACGTGTCCAATTAACGGGCTTAAAGTCAAGTGGACAACCTCTTATTAACGAGCTGTTACTTGTGTGTCAATTGAAGCAATTTTTATTGCCTTTATATAGGTGTGTTATTAAAAATTGTGTTGCTCGTTCCATTTTTTTATTTTATTTTTTTGAAATGTTAACAGTGGTCTGAGGTGGAAAGTGGGAGAGAAGACCTTTTATAACAGAGGTAATGGAGAGTGGACCCCAGCTGCCTGGGTTTGTACACCTCAGCCAGTTCATTGAAGCTCAGAGAGCTGTATTAAGCTAGTCTGGTCTTGTTTGTTCATTCTTTGGACAAATCCTCCAAAAATAAATTGCACTTTTTCCTCTTTTACTCTGTAGTGTGTTGTGTCAGAATGGAAAAACTGTCATGAATGGTGTGTACATGTTGCTCTCTCTTTCAGCAAAACCTGCACATGCCTGTGTGGTAAATGCTCCACACTTTATGTAAGACTGTTACAATACTGTTTTTTTTTGTTGTTTTTTTTAATGGTTACTTACCACTTAGCAGGGCAACAGAACCACTGAGGCAAGAACATATTGAATGACTCCAAAGAAATTACGCATGGGGGGAACTGCTAATGCTGTCCTGCGATGGACTGGTGTCTCCCATGCAGGGTGTATTCCCAGCTTGTGTCTCTTGTTCCCTGTTTAGGTTCTGGACCCACTTCAACCTTGACAATGATAAAGTGGTTAGTGAAGATGGATGAAGGCTATTTTATGCAATTAAATATTCACAGGTATGGAAGTTTAGGTCAGTTTGAATGTACTGTGGTAGTAATTTAAGTTGATCACACTTGCATTCAAGTACTTGAAGGGTTATGATGATTTATCTGAGGGTCTTAAGTTCTATTGCATGCTCCAAAAGTTTATAAATAAGTTTTATAGCAGAGTATGTTTCAAAATGACCACATATGATGAAATGGGGCAGTGGTAAGTAGTGGTTAGTGGGGTAGTGGTTAAGACATACGATTACTGATCGGAAGGGCACGAGTTCAAATCCTGCCAAGCTAATACTGCTGGGCCCTTGAGCAAGGCCCTTAACCCTCAATTGCTCAGTTGTATAAATGAGATAAATGTATGTCTGGATAAGGGCATCTGCCAAATGCTGTCTGTGTCAAATGCTGATCTCAGAGTGGTCATATTGTCATGAGCCAAGGGGCACTGGTGACTGAGTGGTTAAGGGCTTGTCAGAGACAGTGTTCCTTTGGGTAAAAGCATTAAGGAAATAAATATAGCATTGTTAATTTGACCTTATTTGGCATGTGATCTTATCCAAAGTGATGGACACCTGAGACAAGATACAGTTCAAGCATACAGCTAAGCTGTTGAGGGTTTAGGGTCTTGTTCAGTCAACCACCAAATTTCATTAATGTTCTACATTTTCATACAAAATGTTAATGTAACGGGGGGCACGCTGGCTTAATGGTTAGCACGTTTGCATTGCACCATCAGGGGATGGGGGTTCGATTTCCGCCTCCGCCCTGTGTGCATGGAGTTTGTATGTTCTCATGCTTTGGGGGTTTCCTCTGGGTACTCCAGTTTCCTCCCCTAGTCCAAACACGTGTTGTAGGCTGATTGGCATCTCTAAATCGTCCATAGCGTGTGAATGGGTGTGTGCACGATTGTGCCCTGTGATGTCCAGGGTGTCCCCTGCCTTGTGCTCCGAGTCTCTTGGGATAGGCTCCAGGCTCCCCATGACTCTGTATAGGATAAGTGCTACAGAAAATTGATGGATGGGCACTAATTCACCTACAAGTGGCTCCATTTCACAACCCGGGCTACTTTTCCACCAGTCAGCGGGCAAGCGAAAATGTGTAAACATGATCCTCTTGAAATCATGATGCATCTACTTATCCTTCAAGCAAAATCTGTAGCTCAGTTTGAATCAGTGTTATTAACTCATGTTAATCTCCATCTCCACTACTCTACTACACAAGGGTTTATAGTAGTAAACTCTACCTTGACCCCTGTTATGTCTGGCATGAGAATAACGCCATGTCCTGGTTTTATTTCTCCTGCGGTTTTTGGACACACTGTTCACTGGTAGGATAATGTGGTTTTCGGACATTGTTAAACTCCCCCCATTTCCCGAGCCACCTCAGACCCACATGGCCGGGCTTCTAGCTTCCTGTCCAAACGGATCGCCTCGCCATGCAGCTCCAGATGGAGCAGATCAGCGCGCACATTCCGGCGCCTGTGTCAGGATCCTAACTGCGACCTGTCCGTGTGGGATTGTATTCACGGCTTTTTACAGCTAAGTGGTGCAGAATGCAGTGAATATGGTGGAGAGAAAGCGGGGGTTGAATAATGTCCACTGTGCTTTCCGCGTACTTGTGAAACTGCTAGCAGGCGCTGAAACCGCGGCGGTCTCGGTGAGTTCCAGGCTGTTAGGCGTGGTTTTCTCTTAGTGTGGAAAAAAAGAGCTTTTCCACAGATGAGACTATATCTGTTTTAGTGTAGGATACTGTTTTTTTAAAGTGAACAAATAATAACCAGTGTCTGGTGATTATGAACTTTGTTGTCACATGTAGATTGTTAGAAGTTTACTTGGGAACCTTTGTCTTTCTACTGAGCAGGTTTGGTCCAGCTTCAACCCACTGATAGGCTCAAATAATCCGATTTCTATCTGATCCCAGGCACTTTTATTGAGCTGACCACTGAAGTCATGAGGGCCTCATCCTCACGCTTATCCAGCTTTTCTTCCAGAGACTCTTTATGGAGCCGGTGAGTGCAAATTGTCCCTGTGCAACAGAATATCACTGAAGATACAGTAGATTTGCAAAACTCCAGAGCTTATCCAATCCTTGCTTGATTTAGAATAAGAAGATAAAAGCAGGAACTTAATGAAATTAAGACTATGTGTTATACATTGCTCCATTTTGCAGAAAAGCCTTCAGATCCCTCGTGCATGCAGGACTCAACAAACGTGGACTGTGATTGGTCCAAAATAATTCTTTAGAAACAAAACCATGCTTTACTATATATAATGTATTTTAAATTAGCCTATGTAGGTCTGTATATTTACCTTACTGTTGTAATAGGATTATATTTATTATTCTCTGGCGCTGTGTGTAAGCAATAAGCTGAATATATAATATAATATAATATAATATAATATAATATAATAAGATTATCATTTTAATGCATGAGGTAGTCTGTACTTTATTGAAACTGTGCAGCTGTTTACATGAATGAGACAAACAGATAAACAACAGGCAGTAAATAAACACAATATTAAAGCATGTTGCCAAACTTAGCTCTTCATCAGCAGAGGGGACAGCTACATCCAAGTAAAAGTGTCCTACTAAAAAAGCATACTAAAATATAGTACGCTAAACGTGTTATATACTATACTATGTAGTAGAGAAGTATGGTGGGTTGAAGGCAGCTGCGCATGCGCAGATGAGTCCCTTGTTTCCGTGGTGGGCGGGGCTCCAGCTCCGTGCACGCGCGCATGTCAGAGAGCGCGGAGCGAGCGGACGGGAGGAAAGCGGAGGAAAAGAGAAAGGGAGAGAAAACAGAATGAATCCGCTACCCGGGCCACTGAAATACTGATCATTATATATATATTTATATCTAAAATAATAATATCAGTACCAAAGCCAGAGGGGTTAGCTGAGTGTACCGGCGGCTTGTGGAATAGGAATGGTTTTTTTTTTTTTTTTTTTTGATCTGGAAGCGTCCCGTCGTTTCTGATTAGACTCACATACAAGAGGGCGATCAGAGCAGAGAAAAAGAGCAGGAGGTGGAAATTCCATGCGGATCGACCCTCCCTGAGGCCGGAGGGAGCACCCAGCACCCAGCAGAAACGTCCCTCCGCCGCGGTGCGCTAACCAGCTTGTCTTTGTGATTCATGGTGCTGCATCTCTGATATAAAATTGTCTCCTCCATCTTTACCGGGCGATCGCGTTCGCAAGGATGCCGGACCAGATCTCCGTGTCCGAGTTTCTGTCGGAAACCACGGAGGATTACAACTCCCCGACCACATCGAGCTTCACCACCCGCTTACAGAGCTGCAGGAACACGGTCAGCGTGCTGGAGGAGGTAAGGGCCTCGATCATCCTCTCTACTCCCTGCCTTAGTGCCGGCGCAGAGCAGCAGAGCAGCAGAGCCGGGCAGACTGCAGCAAGGCCACTACTGTAAGGCCACTAGATGGCCACTAGATTAAGACTATTAGATGGTAAGGGCACTAGATTAAGGCTACTAGATGGTAAGGGTATTAGATTAAGGCCACTAGATGGTAAGGGCATTAGATTAAGGCCCCTAGATGGTTAGGGCACTAGAGTAAGGCAACTAGATGGTCTCAAGATGGTAAGGTCACTAGAGTAAGGCCAGTAGATGGTCACTAGATGGTAAGGGCACTAGAGTAAGGCAACTAGATGGTCTCAAGATGGTAAGGTCACTAGAGTAAGGCCAGTAGATGGTCACTAGATGGTAAGGGCACTAGAGTAAGGCCACTAGATGGTAAGGGCACTAGAGTAAGGCCACTAGATGGTAAGGGCACTAGAGTAAGGCCACTAGATGGTGACTAGATTAAGGGCACTAATGTGGGCATCTAAAGCGCAGAGTCTTATTTTAAGGCTTGGTGTTACAGACCAGTAGACACGCATTTGTGCTACAACACACAGATGAGGTGCTGAAGGACCATCCAGTCAAACACACAGTCCATTCAGATTTCCGGTTCTGTGTGTTTCCAAAAAAATTGATGAGAATTTGAAGGGTGGAGGGTGTGTGCTTTATTTGTTGATGAGCTCCACATATAAAAGGAAAGCCTGCAGTGTGTACACTAGATTATCGCCTCCACTGGAGTAACGGTTTCCCAGCTCAGGATTACAGGCTGCTGTTGTTGCACAGGTTTCTTCTTCCCACCGCCATGTTGAGGAACAAAACTCCATGAGCTGTGATCCTGCGTGGAGTTTGCTGATGTTATCAGGTATGAGCTGGATGATGAGCTGCACTGCTGCAGGTCATATAGGTTTGATGCTTCAGTGAGGTGAAATGGGTTATTGGTGTTCTAATTTAATATAAATTGTGTTCCTGATTAAAAGATGAACACGCGAGTAAAGAACATTCGTCCCTGTATGTGTGCTCAGGTGAAGTGGTGGACTAGACACAACAAATGACCAGAAACTCTGTATGGTTTATGTCATATTGAAAACATTGCCCAGAAATTAAAGCCCAGATTCTGTACATTAGTCTCATACTCATCTTTTGATCTGTACTACAGATAAGTGTGTAGACCTCAGGCTTCTACATGATACATTACGCTTGTGATTCAGAAGTCAGCGTTTCAATATTTGACGATACCACTGAATCTGCTATGATAGGATTTTGATTCATAAAGCAACGATTTGATATTTGACAGTACCACTGAATCTGCTATGATGCGATACCTCCGATCGATATGTGACTAACTTTGTTCAGAATCTTGGGTAGGCCCCCCGTTAATTTTCAAATGATGACAGAGAGAAGTATCAGAATTACAGCCAAACCAAGCTACATTTGATTTTATCACATGGTTGAAGGTTACTGCTTAGTAAATTTAACCTTTTCTGAAAGGGAAGCACTCTTTTTTTTTTTTTCTTTTTTTTTTTTTTTTTTTTAAGGGTTCTACATAGAACCTTTAGAGATTTCCCCAGAGGAACAAGCTAAAGACCAGGTTAGCCTTTTTTTTTATAGGGCCGAGGTTAAAATTTAAATTTCTCTTCAGTTCTTTGGATGGCTGATGGTTTTAGATTTCTAACAGGGTTCTTCTTAGAACCTTTTCTGAAAGGGTAAATCTGTTATGGCAATAAATTAAACCTTAACCATGTATGGCCTAAGAACTATAATTATTCTCAAACCATAACCTGTTCTTTGAATGAATGGTCAGGTTTCATTGTTTACGAGGCAACACCAAAACTCTTGACTCACTGACGATGAAAGCGGATTTTCAGTGTGAGCAGTATGGTTCAGGACCAATCCTAGTTCTTGGTATGTTTTTAGGAAAATTGAATTATGAGGGCTACCTG